GGTTATTAACGCAATTGCGTACGGACTCTCAGATTCCTAAAGCATATTTTGTAAATTACTTGAACAAGGGGAGCAGAGCCTTACAACTTATCCTGTATTTACCTACATATATATGTTCCCTATTCTCCCTCTTCCACTTCTTCTTTCTTCCTTATAAATTGACTGGTAATAGCATTATTACAAAGATTCGACTCAACTACTAATTTCAAAGAAAATAAGCCACAAGCACGACCAGTTCAAATGAGCATTATAACCTAAGTTCCATACACTGGATCATTTGCAGGAAAACATTGGTCACAAACTACAAAAGCATGCACCGAGTATATCCGTACAGTTGGAGAAAAATAAAAGAACAAACTTAGAGACTGCAAGATTCCTAGGACTTCCAGAGAAAGATAAATAATGAAATAGCCAATGATCATACAAAAGAATAGACCCAACATATCCCAAAAGCTTGGAAAGTACATCACACCTGAGTGTACGTTTGGACATGGTCTCTCCAAAGGGAACTAGTCTTCAGAACATCCCTTAAGGTTGATATGACCTCAAATGAAGTTGCCTTAATTACATCATCATCCTTGTTATATGGTTTGTCCTACAATACAAGATACAGCCCAGAGAGGGAAACAAACAAGAGAAGATAAGAAAATTATTCTATCACACGTGTAGCAATAGGATTTGGTAAGAAAAAATATGGTTGGCATGCCTTGAGATGATCAACTTTTACAGTAAGTGGCTCCTCGCTAACCTGTCAGAAGACGATCTTTCTCAGCTAAGCATTTTAGATTTGAATATAAATAGGATAAAATCAAAGGGATAAATAAATGTGATATTTCGATTCAGTAGTATCACCTATCAAGACAAATTACAAGTTCATGCTTACTGCTCATTTCTACCCACCATCTCTGTAATTCGAAGACGCCTGTGTCCGATGAGGATGACCTGGTCTCCTTGGATACTTGAGATCTGGTGTGTAATGTTACAAAACCAATAACATCAACAAGTGAGAGGCAACACCAAGTGAAGCATTTCAAGTTGGTCCATAAACTGTAGCAAATTAGATACCTGCGCAAGAGTGCCAACTTCGTGAAGACGATTAAACAGCTCTTTTCCTTTCATGGCATAGATGTTTTTCTCAGACTCAGAACCAGATACCAAACTAGGATCAGTCCCCGGCTCATCCTTGAGAAGGAAAGCACCAGCATATGGAGCTTGCCGTTTACGGTTTTCCTGTAAAGCTGCCAAAAGCTTAGGATCCTGCACAAAAAGCACCTCTGTTAGAGATGGATACTACTGAATCGAAATATTAATGGGCTGCAGAGGTTTGGAAACCGCCATTACATTATATACCAATACCCAAAATAAGAACCAAAAGAGAATTTTTTATGCAATTAACAAGCCTCGATACCTTGACATAGATCGGCATGTAGAATCCTGGAAATAGCGGTCTATGCGGTAAGGGCAATGCTAAAACCTGTCCCAAGAACACAGGAGAGTCATCATTTGCAAAATATAAGTACACGGGCAACTCTCGTCCATGCTTTTGAAGCAACTAGTAGGTTTAATAAACAGTTCAATGATTAGTATTTAGGCAAGTTTGACAAATTCAACAAAAACAAGAGAATACAAAGCCATATTCAACCAACTCCCAAATTCACATTATTACGAACACCTAGCTTACATAACGCAATAAAGTTTGCTTCTTTACCAGTTTTTTCCTTCTTTTTCCTCCAAATTTTCCACCAACAAAACAACAATAATCTGATCAAATGCACTAAATTCAATGAACCAATTCAAATTTATACACATTTATCAATTTTTCATACACCAAAAACAAGTCCATTAAGCCAAACAAATAAAAAATTCCAGAACCAAGAAAAGTCCAACAAACCGTTAGATAATCTTCGGGTCTAGGGTTCGTGGACACGATTACCGAGGACGGTTTCGACTCGTTCCCCGACTCGGCCTCCTTGACCTCGGCGTCTGACGCCGGCTCGGAGCCATCCTTCGCGTCGGAGCAGAAAAACGCGCGGGAACTCCTATTAGAGCCTCTCCGAGACAAAGCAGTGAGCGAGCTCAGGACTCGGAGAAACGTCGCCGTCGAGTCGCCGGACCCGGTTCGGGGACCCGTCGGAGCGAGACTGTGGATCCGGCTCTGAAGGCATGAAGAGGAAGATGATGAGAGAAGCTTCAACATTTTCCGGCGGAGAGTGAATTGGGATGGGAGGCGTGAAATTAGGAATTCAAGGGTTTGGTCTTGTTTTGTCCTAGGCGGTTTGGTGATTTTGATGGTCAAGAACCGCCATTGATGGAGCAAAGCATTAGAGAGAGAGAGAGAGAGAGAGAGAGAGATAGAGAACGTTCTAAAGTTTTTCGGTTAAAGCCCTGCCAAAACCCTTGGGTAACCTTGAGTTGGCGAAATTACCCCTAAAGTTAGATAATATTACGCATTGGTCATTACTTTAGCGCTTTTTTTTCCCTTCAATTTTGTTCTTTTAAAAAACAAGATCGAGGGGAAAAAAAAAAGATTTTTACACTTTCCCTATACTGAGATCTGTTTGGTTAGAGAATTCGTACTTCAATTTAAATTATAATTCGTGATTTGTTATATTATTTTTAAAAAATATATATATAAATAAAAAATAATTTTAATTTCATAATTTTAATATATAAATCAAACGTCAATTTAATCAAACAATTTTACGTTTGCATTCTTGACCTCTACATTTTTGTATTTAATCAAACACGACGAAAAGTACTCTAATTAATATCTTATCAAACAATTCATTGCATATAGGGTTGAAAAATAAGGTATCGACCCTCATATATCCTTAAATCATCTCTGATTGTATATTTAATATCAAAAATGTGTTATTTTTATTTTTATTTAAATATATAATGTTATTTAAAATGTTAAATTTATTTTTTTTTTATAATTATAAAACTTTAGAAGTTATAAAAGTAAATTTTTATTTTTAAAATAATTAAAAAATGTAAAAATTGCATTGATTATATGAAAAAAGTAAACATTTCAATCCATAGTAATTATAAATGTCAAATTTTTTATATACTATATTTGGTGAAAAATTTACCACAAAAAATAGTATGTGAAAAATTTGGCACAACAAATAGCATTGTATTAGAGAGTATTTTTTACACTCAAATGTTAAATTTGTAATTGACACATTAATTTTAACATTGCATTGAAAAAGCACTAAAGATGAGTTTAAATTGTGAAGATTCTAATCTGCAAAAAGGAGCCTAGTTATGAAACATAAGCAAATATTAACACTAACACAGTTTTACTTTTTTTTAGCACTCTCTACAAAAATAACTAAACAAAACTTTAGAGTATATTCATTTGCACAACTTAAGTCATGATTCGAGTTATATATGTGAGAGAAAAATATTATTAAAAATGTTAAATTTAAATTTTTATGAGAGAAAATAATATAACAATAGGACTTGAGTTATGAAAATAAATAAGGCATTAGAAGCCGATTCCAACATTATTTTAAAAATTTGCATTGTCTCTATTTAAAATAACATTCTAAGGATGTAACAAAATCCTTCTAAAATTCGTGTATTTTTTTAAGAGAGAAAAATGCAAACAAATCGAATGTTTCTAGAAAAAAAAATTAAAAAAAAAAGTCTCGAGGTGTTTCTACTCGAGCAAAAACAAGCGGGGAAATCTACTCAACAAAACAAAAGGAAAAGAAAAAAAAAAAGAGAAAAGTGTTAAATATGCCTTTTTTTTTGGTAATTAAGGGCTTATTCATTTGTATTTGTTGAGTTAGAGTGATTTGAGTTCAAATTTTAATATGAGTTAAGGTGTATTTAAGTAATGTTTGAATTGAGACTTTAATTTGAGTTTGTATTTAGATGTGCACATTTTGAGTTGTGATTTGAATTAAGAATCTATTTAAGTTTGTATTTAGATTGGTCAAAACTTAAATTTGTATTTAAAAAATATTTTAATAAAAACTCAATGGTGATGAAAAAGTTTAATAGGGTATATAGGTGGAGTTTTATTCATCTTTTCAATGTGAACACATGAAAAAATATCATTGAATTACAACGAAGAAGTTATAACATTTTTAAGAATAAAAAAATATTATTCATTAATTTGAATTTGAGTTTAAGAACTTAAGTTGAATGAGAAACTTGAACTCATATTTTAACTTCAAACTTAAATTAAAACTTAAATTTTACAAAAAAAAAATATTAACTTAAATAAAATTGTAACACGAGTTTAAATTTTTTTTAAAATTTAAATGTAAATAGGTTATAATAATAAAACTTGAATTTTGACCGTGAACAAAACCTTAAATAAATAAAAAAAGAAACAAAAAAATACAACTTTTCTGTAGTCTCCTCTTCGTATACATCGCAATTCCACTTCTCCTCTCACGCGCCGCCGTCACCACCGGCGGCCACCACCTCCATCCGTCCGAACGCTGACTACATCATTACTTTTCCTCGACAACTGAAATTCCCAAAATTCATAACTTCAATCGTCGTATTCCAAAGAGACCGAATTTAGGAAGATGATGCGTCTAAAGTTCAAAGCTTTACCAGGAAACTTTTTCCCGAGAAACAAACAGAGCCGTAGCAGGCTTCTCTGTACTGCTTCCATCTCACACACATTCAACGCTCCACTCGTCTCGGAGCTCATAGCAAAGCAACACTGGTCGGAGCTGAAAAGAACCCATCTCACTGACTCGAATCCCACCAAACTTCTCCAACAACTTTTCGAATCGGAAGTCGACCCCGACCTCATTTTCAGGTACTTCAATTGGTCCCATAAAGAGCTTAACATTTCTCACACTCTTGAACTCACTTGTAGACTCTTACACTCACTAGCAACCGCGAAAAAGTACTCCAAAATCAGGGCTTTTTTAGATGGGTTCGTTAAGAGGAATGTTGAACACTCAAACTTCACAATTTTCCACTCTCTTTCAATTTCTAGTGATCGATTTTGCACGAGTTCAATCATAGTTGACATGTTGGTATTGGCGTATGCTAAAAATTTGAAATCCCACTTGGCTTTTGAGGCTTTTAAGAGAGCTGGTGATTATGGGTTCAAATTATCTGCTTTGTCATTGAATCCTTTGTTATGTGCTTTGGTCAAGGAAAATAAAATTGGGCAGGTTGAGTTTGTGTACAAGGAGATGATTAGGAGAAAGATTACGGGTGATTTGTATACTTTTAGTATTGTGGTTAATGGGTTATGTAAGGCTGGGAAATTGAACAAGGCAGGAGATATTATTCAGGACATGAAGGCTTTTGGAGTTTTGCCGAATGTGGTTACTTACAATATTCTAATTGATGGATATTGCAAGATGGGGAAGTTGGGGAAGATGTATAAAGCTGAAGCTATTTTGAGGGAAATGGTTGCTAATAAAATCTGCCCTAATGAGATTACCTACAATATATTAATTAATGGGTTTTGTAAAGATGAGAATGTAGCGGCTGGGATGAAGGTGTTCGAGGAAATGCAGAGGCAGGGTCTGAAACCGAACGTGGTGACTTATAATTCGCTGATTGATGGGCTTTGTACTGAGGGGAAGCATGAGGAGGCTTGTGATTTAAAGGACGAAATGCTCGGTTGTGGTTTGAAGCCAAATGTTGTTACTTTCAATGCGCTTGTGAAAGGATTTTGTAAGAAGAAGATGATTAGGGAGGCTAGAGAGGTGTTTGATGATATTGGAGTCCAAGGCTTGGCTCCAAATATTATAACTTACAACACTCTAATTGATGCATATTGTAAGAATGGGATGATGGATGAAGCATTTCTTTCGCGCAGTTTAATGTGGGAAAAAGGAGTTCTCCCTGATGCTTCGACTTATAACTGCTTGATTGCTGGTTTTGGTAGACATGGGGACATGGAAAAAGCTAGAGATATTTTAGATGAAATGCAAAATAAGGGTCTCAAAGCTGATCTCATAACTTACAATATACTAATTGATGCATTTTGTAAGAAAGGGGAGACAAGAAAAGCAACAAGAATTTTGAAGGACGTGTTTGATAAGGGCTTGAGTCCAAGTCACTTGACATACAATACATTGATGGATGGCTACTGCAAACAAGGTAACCTGAAGGCTGCGTTGAATGTGAGAGCGCAAATGGAAAAAGACGGGAAGCGAGCAAATGTCGCGACATACAATGTGTTGATCAAGGGGTTTTGTGAGAAGGGAAAGCTTGAAGATGCAAATGGGCTTCTGAATGAGATGTTGGAGAAGGGTTTAAATCCAAACCAAATTACTTACGAGATAGTAAAAGAGGAAATGATGGACAAGGGTTTTGTTCCTGATATAGAAGGACATTTTGTGTAGCGTCTCTGGCAGCTCTTGGCTGCTGAAAATGAGAGATATTAGAGTTGTCCTGTACATACAAAGGTGAGCGTCAGGCCATGGGGAAACAAATAAGAAGATGAGGAAAACAATGCTTTCCCATTATGAATATGGAGAACTTTACGATAGGGTATGAGAACTGTCTAATCTTCATCAAATTTCCTTAGATTGTTCTACTTTTCTTAATGTATGCTTATGATGTTATCTGGGAATTCAAAACTGTGTCTAATTGGTAGGGTGTTGTACCCTACCATCGAATTATCCAATGAATATAGCTAACAAGGTTAGAGAAGTACGTAAAAGTTTGACTGAAAAAACCAGAAATAGGGCTACAGCTCCCAGTTCTCTTGGTCCTTTAATTATTAATAGGGATTGCCTTGGTTTTGCTTCTTGCATATTTACTTGGTGGTTATATTTTTTTGTATTTTCAACCAAGCGATGGCAGTGTGGGTTATTTCCTTTTTGTTTCAGGGCCAAATCTGCTTGTTTTTGGAGAGATAATCTTTTTTTAGTTCCAATTATGTTTGGACTTGTTTCTATTCTTGTTTTGAGAAATTTTCTTGGAAGAGTGAATCCAACTTGTTTACAAAGATGGAGAAACAAATTCATACCAGTTTTGATGGGATATCTCTGTTGAAAACGAACTTTTAACCACAAAACTGCTTGTCGTTTTCAATAAACAACAGATATAGGGTATGTTTGGTAGGAGGGATGGAAGGGTGGAGGGATTGAGGTGTGGAAAGTGGAGAAAACCATGTTTGGTAGGGTGGAAAGGGAAGAGGAAGGGAGCTTGGGCTGAGGAAGCCATTAAGGCCCGTTCACTTCGTTAATTCGAGTTTTTAATTTTAGTTGAGATGTGATTTTATGTAAAAGTTTTTTACTGTAGCAAAAATGTTAGATATGATTGTTTTTTAGAGCTTTTTACTGTAGCAAAACTCAAATTCTAAACTCGAATCGGCGAAATGA